CTCAGCCTCCTGAGTAGCTGGGATTACAGGCACGTGCCACCATGCCCAGCTAATTTTTTGTAGTTTTAGTAGAGACGGGGTTTCACCGTGTTGACCAGGATGGTCTCGATCTCTTGAACTCGTGATCCACCCGACTTGGCCTCCCAAAGTGCTGGGATTACATAGTTTGACATTTTAAATGATTTATTTAATTGCTGGCATTTAGTGTAACAACAAAAATTGTTGATTGAAAAATCTTTGTTTTTCTACTGTACTTTAGGTTCTGGGGTACATATGCAGATCATGCAAGGTTGTTGCATAGGTACACACATGGCAATGTGGTTTGCTGCCTTCATCCCCCCATCACCTACATCTGTCATTTCTCCCAGTGTTATCCCACCCTGACCTCGCTACTCCCCTGCTGTCCCTCCCTTGCACCCCCCCAATGGACCCCAGCGTATGATGCACCCCTCCCTGTGTCCACATGTTCTCATTGTTCATCACCCACCTATGAGTGAGAACATGTGGTGTTTGATTTTCTGTTCTTGTGTCAGTTTGCTGAGAATTATGGTTTCCAGATTCATCCATGTCCCTACAAAGGAAACAAACTCATCATTTTTATGGCTGCATAGTATTCCATGGTGTATATGTGCCACATTTTCCTTGTCCAGTCTGTCATCAATGGGAATTTGGATTGGTTCCAAGTTTTTGCTATTGTAAACAGTGCCAGTATGAACATACGTGTGTATGTGTCTTTATAACAGGATGATTTGTAATCCTTTGGGTATACACCCAGTAATGGGATTGCTGGGTCAGATAGAATTTCTATTTCTAGGTTCTTGAGGAAGTGCCACACTGTCTTCCACAATGGTTGAACTAATTTACACTCCCACCAACAGTATAAAACTGTTCCTATTTCTCCACATCCTCTCCAGCATCCGTTGTCTCGAGATTTTTTAATGATCGCCATTCTAACTGGTGTGAGATGGTATCTCAATGTGGTTTTGATTTGCATTTCTCTAATAATTAGTGATGAGCATTTTTTCATATGTTTGTTGGCCTTATATATGTCTTCTTTTGAAAATTTTCCATTCACATCCTTTGCCCACCTTTGGATGGGTTTTTCTTGTAAATCTGTTTTAGTTCTTTGTAGATTATGGATATTAGCCCTTTGTCAGATGGATAGATTGCAAAAATTTTTTCCCATTCTGTTGGTTGCTGGTTCACTCTATTGATTGTTTTGCTGTACAGAAGCTCTGGAGTTTAATTGGGTCCCATTTGTCTATTTTGGCTTTTGTTGCCAATGCTTTTTGTGTTTCGGTCATGAAGTCCTTGCCTATGCCTATGCCTATGCCCTGAATGGTTTTGCCTCAGTTTTCTTCTAGGGTTTTTCTGGTGTTAGGTCTTATGTTGAAGTCTTTAATCCATCTGGAGTTAATTTTAATGTAAGGTGTCAAGAAAGGGTCCAGTTTCTGCTTTCTGCACATGGCTAGCCAGTTTTCCCAACACCATTTATTAAACAGGGAATCCTTTCCCCATTGATTGTTTTTGTCATCTTTGTCAAAGATCAGATGGTTGTAGGTGTGCGGCATTGCCTCCAGGGCCTCTGTTCTGTTCCATTGGTCTATATCTCTGTTTTGGTACCAGTACCATGCTGTTTTGATTATGGCCTTGTAGCATAGTTTAAAATCAGGTAGCGTGATGCCTCCAGCTTTGTTCTTTTTGCTTAGGATTATCTTGGCTATATGGGCTCTCTTTTGCTTCCATATGAAGTTTAAGGTGGTTTTTTCCAGTTCTGTGAAATTTGTTGATTGAAATATCTTTTTTTACAAGGGATGCTGAATACACTTTATTGACTGTAATCCTTGTGTGAAGCTTATTGGCTGTTAGATTGCTTTCAGCCTGTTATACCAGCTGTACTTCTTTGAGGAGGGGGATGATCTTCACTTTACTTTTTGCTTCACATGCTGAAAGTGAGTAGGCTTTTTAATGAGGCAGAAGAATGGAGACTTGGGGAAAATGGTGGAGAAAGCCCTCTCTGATTTACCAAGATGGCTTTCTAAGTTTATTTAGTGATGAGCCACTTGGAGATACAAGTCAAGTGATGAAGAAGTTCATAGAAATGTTTTCAATTTTACCACTGAAAGGAAAGAGATGATAATACATACAACTACTTTTCCCACAACTTATATTTTTATTTTCATATATGCACAGTATCTTTTGTGTTATAGGTGCTTAATAAATCTTTTTCAAATAAATGTATGCTGGAAAATGTTGTAATTGAAGTATATATACATTTTTGGCTGGCTATATTGCAGTAGACCTCATTTAGACAGTTTTAAAAAATAATGAAGATAGCTGGCACACAATGAAGTGTTTATTATATGCCTTCTTCTTCCACATTTTATTGTATTTTTTTCACTCCCTTGTGAAGGAAACTAATTTCAACAACACTGTACCGTTCATGTATTAAGCCGTTCATAAGTAGCAAGAGGTATCTGATTCGATTTATATTACAGTATTTTAATTATCTAGCTCTTATGAATATTTTACATGAAAAAATAACCTCAGGCAAATAAACTTGTTACTGCTCCAGAAACCCTTTGACATTTTTTATAATCTATAATCACATTGATTTAAAATGACATGACAGAAATGCCTGAATGTTGACAAGTTGATGAGAGCAACAAACATCTGCCTATTAAATTTGGGATCACCACCTAGAGTACTATACATATCAATGATCCAAGTGTACCTTTTTTGATTCATTGCTTGATAAGAAAAACCTGGACTTCTTTAGATTTATAAGCAAAGTCAAAAATATTTTTCAAAACATTACGTTCTAAAAGTAGTAGTAATTATGGTGTAGCCCCTTACTAATCAGTGTGCCCCAAGGACCAGCAGCCTCTAAATCGTCTGGGAGATTTTTAGAAAAGCAGAAACATCACCCTACACCTAGGGAATTAGAATCTGCATTTAAACACATCTCCAGATGATGCTGAAATGGGAAAAGTTGCCTTGTGTCCCTCACAGAGGGTGTGATGGGGCTGTGGCTTGCTGCTTCAGTGCCTCTCTGCCAAACCTCAAGGGGAGCATAAGGATGGGCATGTCGTGGGGCTCCGACCCCACAGCCATGTTTAGGGGTGAATATTTACAGCTCCTGAAGCCCCAGTGGGCAAGTGCTACCATGTGCTCTTTTAATTTTGCTCTCTATAGGCAGCTTGTGTTAACCAGCTCAATTACCTTGTCACTACCTTGTCACAAGGACAGAGGACTTGCTGTGTCTGGGTTCTTGCCTTTATGAACCAGAAGAAGCAGATCACAATGGGACTTGGAGATTGAGTTTAAGGTTTTATTGGGTGGTTGTAGCTCTTAGCACATGGGGGAAGCCAAAAGGGAGATGGAGTGGAAAGGTATTCCCCTGGACTCAGACAGTTCAGTGACCTGGACTCTCCTCTGACTGCCTGTGCCAAATTCCACTTCTTCCCATTGGTCTATGGCCTGCTGGCATGCCGTGCCCAAGGGTGAGTCCCTCTCCATGTCCAGCCCCTGGTCCTTTACTCCACTGATGTGCTCCTCTCTACATCCTGCTGTGTCTTCTTGGGCAGATCTGCCCCTCTGGCTGTCCAGCAGTTTGTGTGTCTGCCTGCTAGGGTAAGGATGGCAAGCCAGGGTGGTCTTGGGAACTGCAACATTTGGTCAGGAAATGCCTGTCTTCACCTAGTCTCTGTGGGGGTGGAGCCCTAGTGAAGGACCATGCCCTCCTCTACCCAGTACTTCCCTTCTCCCTTCCATGTCATTTAAAGGGACCAAGCTCTCTCCTTCCCAGCAATTCCATATCAGTGCCTATGCACATTAAAGTTTGAGAAATGCTGGTAGGCCATTTCATTTCCTGATCTCCAAAACATAAGGACATTTTAGAGGCCAGGATGCATTTAGTAGATTCTGAATCTAAAGGAAACCTAAACCTTTCCTTGGAAGTAGACGTTTATAGCATCTTCAAATGCAGTTAGAAGCATACATGACTGGATTCAGAACAGAAAATCTCAGTTTTACCTACTTCATGACCCTGTGCACAAATGTATGTTTATGTTCCTATGACTTCTTGAGTTAAACAATTGTTTTTAACAAACAATAAAATTATATTCACTAAATGAACTCATTTGTACTTGGTGTATGGGGTCTTTTATCAATAGTCTCAGAATATTTTATATTTCTTAGGTTTTTCTTAGACTTGTACAAATCATGCTGCTTTGTTCTCTCCTGCTGTTAAAATAAATATATTAGTAATTATGCATATTTAATTTTCAAAATGCCAAGTGATTACTCACAGTACTTAGGAAAATGATTTTAGATATTTGTAAAACATTTCCTTAGTAAGGGACTTTCAAGCCTGAAGTTGTGTTATTATGGATATTTCTTTTTATAATAATCAGGATAAAAATGTATTTATTATTTCCTCTTTTTCAGATGTAAGACAAAAGTCTACCCTGATGAACTTCCCAACACAAGTGTAGTCATTGTATTTCATAACGAAGCTTGGAGCACTCTCCTTAGAACTGTTTACAGTGTGATAAATCGTTCCCCACACTATCTGCTCTCTGAGGTCATCCTGGTAGATGATGCCAGTGAAAGAGGTACAAACTTTGTTTTTTTTGTATTGTTATTAAGAAGCTTTATTATGGCCAAAAAGATAACTACACAATTACCTATATTTGCGTTATAAATTTACTAGCTCTGCCACAGCCTATCAAATTCTCATCAATAACCTCATTAATGCCAACTCTAGAAGCAAATAATCCTTTCACTTTCTCTCATGATTCTATATTGCTCTTAACCTAAAAATTCAGTCAAAATGACTTTCAAAAATACATCTTTTTTTAACTCAACTGATATTATTGAGCATTCATATGATTTTATGGATACATGACATTAACTGATTAAATCTCTACTGTTTTATATCTAAGGCAAAAAATACTGATAGAAATTGGCCACCATTTCTGTGTGTTGAATTACCATCTTGATAGTATCTCTGCTATGTCTTAAAAGAGTTTCAAAATTTTTTCTTGTAAATTTTTATTGCATGTTACAGATTTTCTCAAGTTGACACTAGAGAATTACGTGAAAAATTTAGAAGTGCCAGTAAAAATTATTAGGATGGAAGAACGTTCTGGGTTAATACGTGCCCGTCTTCGAGGAGCAGCTGCTTCAAAAGGGCAGGTCATAACTTTTCTTGATGCACACTGTGAATGCACGTTAGGATGGCTGGAGCCTTTGCTGGCAAGAATAAAGGAAGACAGGTAAGAATTTATGTGTTATTTCTGCCTAGGTTTTGACTGAACCTCATAGGACAGTTCCAGATGTCCATCATAATTTCTCTTCCAAGTTACTATTTTTAGAAGGTTTATTTTGTAGTTTTTATTCGTTATTATTATATATAGAGATTGTTTTAAATTTAATTTTAGGTGCATACTATATCTGGCATTTCTCCCCATGTTATCCCTCCCCACTCTCCCCTCCCTCCCCACCTTCTGCTGTCTCTCCTCTACCCCCTCCAACTGCCCCCAGTGTGTGATGCTTCTCTGCTGAGTCCACCTGTTCTCACTGTTCAACACCCACCTATGAGTGAGAACATGTGATGTCTGGCTTTCTGTTCTTGTGTCAGTTTGCTGAGAATTATGGTTTCCATATTAATCCAAGTCCCTACAAAGGACATTAACTCATCGTTTTTTATGGCTGCATAATATTCCATGGTGTGTGTGTACCACAGTTTCTTTGTCCAGTCTATCATTGATGGGCATTTGGGTTGATTCCAGGTCTTTGCTATTGTACACAGGGCTGCAGTGAACATATGTGTGCATGTGTCTTTATAGTAGAACAATTTGTAGTTCTTTGGGTATATGCCCAGTAATGGGATTGCTGGGTCAAATGGAATTTCTATTTCTAAATCATTGAGAAATTGCCACACTGTCTTCCACAGTGGTTGAACTAATTTACACTTCCATCAACTGTGTAAAAGTGTTCTTACTTATCTACATCACCTCCAGCATCTGTTGTCTCCAGATATTTTAATGATTGCCATTCTAACTGGCATGAGAGGATATCTCAATGTGGTTTTCATTGGCATTTCTCTAATGACCAGCGATGATGAGCATTTTTTATATGTTTGTTGGCCTCATCTATGTCTTCTTTTGAAAAGTGTCTGTTCATATCCTTCACTCACTTTTGAATTTTTTTTTCTTGTATATCTGTTTTAGTTCTTTGTAGATTCTAGATATTAGCCCTTTGTCAGATGGGTAGATTGTAAAAATTTTTTCCCATTGTGTTGGTTGCTGATTCGCTCTAATGATGGTTTATTTTGCTGTCCAGAAGCTCTGAATTTTGATTAGATCCCATTTCTCTATCTTGGCTTTTATTGCCATTGCTTTTGATGTTTTAGTCATGAAGTCCTTGCCTATGGCTATGTCCTGGATGGTTTTGCCGAGGTTTTCTTCTAGTGTTTTTATGATGTTAGGTTTTATGTTTAAATCTTGGATCCATCTGGAGTTAATTTTAGTGTAAGGTGTCAGGTAGAGGTCCAGTTTCTGCTTTCTGCACATGGCTAGCCAGTTTTCCCCACACAATTTATTAAACGTGGAGTCCTTTCCCCATTGCTTGTTTTTGCCAGGTTTTTCAAAAATCAGATGGTTATAGGTGTGTGGTGTTTCTTCTGGGATTTCTGTTCTGTTCCATAGGTCTGTATCTCAGTTTTGGTACCAGTACCATGCTGTTTTGATTACTGTAGCCTTGTAGTATAGTTTGAAGTCCAGCAGTGTGATGTCGCCAGGATTGTTCTTTTTACTTAGGATTGTCTTGGCTATGTAGGCTCTCTTGTGATTCCATATGAAGTTTAAAATGGTTTTTTCCAGTTCTGTGAAGAAGGTCATTGGTAGCTTGATGGTGATAGTGTTGAATCAATAGATTACTTTGAGCAGTATGACCATTTTGACAATATTAATTCTTCCTAACCATGAGCATGTAATGTTTTTCCATCTGTTTGTGTCCTCTCTTATTTCATTGAGGAGTGGTTTGCAGTTCTCCTTCAGGAGGTACTTTACTTCCTTTGTTAGCTATATTCCTAAGTATTTTATTCTCTTTGTAGCAATTGTGAATGGGAGTTCACTCTTGATTTGTCTGTTTGTCTGTTATTGGTATATAGGAATGCTTGTGATTTCTGCACATTGATTTTGTATCCTGAGACTTTGCTGAAGTTGCTTATCATCAGTTTGAGAAGATTTTGGGCTGAGATGATGGGATCTTCTTGATATACAATCATGTTATCTCCAAAGAGAGAGTTTGACTTCCTCCTTTCCTAATGGAATATCCATTATTTCTTTTTCTTGCCTGATTGCTCTGGCTAGAACTTCCAATATTATATTGAATAGGAGTGGAGAGAGAGGGCATCCTTGTCTAGTGCCTGATTTTAAAGGGTATTATTCCAGCTTTTGCCCATTCAGTATGATATTGCCTGTAGGTTTGTCATATATAGCTTTTGTCGTTTTATGATATGTTCTGTCAATACCTAGTTTATTGACAGTTTTTAGCATAAAGCACTGTTGAATTTTGTCAAAGTCCTTATCTGCATCTATTGAGATAATCATGTGGTTTTGTCTTTGGTTCCATGTATGTGATGGATTACATTTATGGATTTGCATATGTTGAACCAGCCTTGCATCCCAGGGATGAAGCCTACTTGATTGGGATGGATAAGCTTCTTGATGTGCTGTTGCAATCTGTTTGCCAGTATTGTATTGAAGATTTTGGCATCTATGGTCATCATGGTTATTGGCCTGAAGTTTTCTTTTTTAGTTGAGTCTCTGGCTGCTTTTGGTATCAGGATGATGTTGGTCTCATAAAATGAGTTAGGGAGGATTCCCTCCTTTTGTATTGTTTGATACAGTTTCATACAGCTCCTCTTTGTACATCTGGTAGAATTTGGCTGTGAACTCATCTGGACCTGGACTTTTTTTGGTTGGTAGGCTATTGATTGCTGCCTCTACTTCAGCCCTTGTTATTGGTTTTTTCAGGGTTTCAACTTCCTCTTGATTTAGTCTTGGCAGAGTACAAGTGTCTAGGAATTTATCCATTTCTTCCTGATTTGCTGGTTTATGTGAGTAGAGCTGTTTATAGTACTTTCTGTCAGTAGTTTATATTTCTGTGGGATCAGTGGTGATATCCCCTTTTTTATTTTTTATTCCATCTATTTGATTCTTCTCTCTTTTCTTTTTTATTAATCTGTCTATTGGTGTATCTATTTTGTTGATCTTTTCAAAAAACCAGCTCCTGTATTTATTGATTTTTTGAAGGTTTTTTTGTGTCTCTATCTCCTTCAGTTCAGTTCTGATCTTAGTTATTTATTGTCTTCTGCTAGCTTTTGAGTTTTTTTGATCTTCCTCCAATAGCTCTTTCAATTTTGATGATAGGGCGTCAATTTTAGATCTTTCCTTGTTTCTCATGTGGGCATTCATTGATATGAATTTCCCTCTTGACACTGCTTTAAAGGTGTCCCAGAGATTCTGGTAAGTTGTGTCTTCATTCTGATTGGTTTCAAAGAACATCGTTATTTCTGCCTTTGTTTCATTGTTTATCCAGTCGACACTCAGAAGCAAGTTGTTCAGTTTCCAAGTGGTTGTGTGGGTTTGAGTGGGTTTCTTAATCCTGAGTTCTAGTCTGATTGTGCTGTTGTCTGATAGAATGTTATGATTTCCATTCTTTTACATTTGCTGAGGAGTGATTTACTTCCAATGATGTGGTCAATTTTAGAGTAAGAGCAATGTGTTGCTTAGAAAAAGGTATATTCTGTGGATTTGGGGTGGATCGTTCTGTATATGTCTATTAGATCCACTTGGTCCAGCTCTGCATTCAAGTCTTGGATATCCTTGTTAATTTTCTGTCAAGTTGATCCATCTAATATTGACAGTGGAGTGCTGAAGTCTCCCACTGTTATTGCATGGGAGTCTAAATCTCATTTTAGGTCATTAAGAACATGCTTTATGTATCTAGGTGCTCCTGTGTTGGGTCATGTATATTTAGGATAGTTAGCTCTTTTTGTTGGATTGATCCTTTTACCATTATGTAGTGTCCTTCTTTGTCCTTTTGATCTTTGTTGGTTTGAAGTCCATTTCATTAGAGACTAGGATTGCAAACCCTCCTTTTTCTTGTTCTCCATTTGCTTGGTAAACCTTCTTCCATTCCTTTATTTTGAGTCTACATGTGTCTTTGTATATGAGATGGGTTTCCTGAATACAGCACACCAATGGGTTCTGACTTTTTATCCAGTTTGCCAGTATGTGCCTTTTGATTGGGGTGTTTAGGCCATTTACATTCAATGTTACTATTGTTATGTGTGAATTTGATCCTGCCATTTTGTTACTGGCTGGCTTTCTTTCCCATTACTTGATGCATTTTCTTCATTGCATTTTTGGTCTTTGCCCACTGGTTTGCTTTTGCAGTGACTGGTACTTGTCCCTTTCCATGCTTAGTATTTCTTTCAGGAGCTCTTGTAGGGCAGGTCTGGTGTGACAGAATCTCTCTGTAATTGCTTGTCCATAAAGGATTTTATTTATCCTTCACTTACGAAGCTGGATATGAGATTCTGGGTTGAAAGTTCTTTTCTTTAAGGATGTTGAATATTGGCCCCCGCTGTCTTCTGGCTTGTAGGGTTTTGCTGAATCTGCTCTGAGTCTGATTGGCTTCCCTCTTTGGGTGACCTGACCTTTCTCTCTGGCTGCCCTTAGCATTTTTTCCTTCGTTTAAACCCTGGTGAATCTGAGAATTATGTGCCTTGGGGTTGCTGTTCTTGAGGAATATCTTTTTAGAGTTCTCTGTATTTCTTGAATTTGAAACTTGGACTGCCTTACTAGGCTTGGGGAGTTCTCCTGGATATCCTGGAGCATGTTTTCTAGCTTGGATTTATTCTCCCCATTATATTCAGGTATACCTATCATCAAGCGTAGATTAGGTCTTTTCACATAATCCTATATTTCTTTGAGGCTTTGTTCATTTCTTTTCACTCTTTTTTCTCTTGTCTTGCCTTCTCTTTTTATTTCATTGAGTTGATCTTCAGTCCCTGATATCCTTTCTTCTGTTTGATCGATTCGGCTATTAAAACTTTTGTTTGCTTCACCTACTTCTTGTGCTGTGTTTTTCAACTCCATCAAGTCGTTTATGTTCTTCTCTAAGCTGGTTATTCTAGTTAGCATTTCGTCTAACCTCTTTTCAAGGTTTTTGGTTTCTTTGCATTGAGTTAGAATGTGTTCCTTTAGCTCAGAAAAGTT